ACAAAAGCGTATCGCACTTTTGCACATTCCTCCCTTGGGCCGTCCCAACTATCAGTTTCCCCAGTCACAACTAAAGTCCATTCACCTGGAGCAATTTTAGAATATTTCTTCCACCACCCTCCCTTGTGGGATAGAGACCAACTGTCGCTTGGCGTACGGTCGAAATAGTCAGAGATGGTACCAACTGCAAATGAATTCTCGTTATCTTCGAAAGTATGAGGCATTGCTAATTGCTTTGCGATATTCAGTGCTGGGGGATTCATCATTCCAATATCGAGATACGGCTGCTGGTTCATTACATAATGAACGTATTGGGCAATCCCGGTTATCAACGCAGATGGCTTGAGATTTACTTCTCCAAAAGGTATACAAACATGGTCGCGCATAGAATTGTCTAATAATATGCCTTTATCAAACATGGACTCGATATTGAGGCCTCCATCTGTGTCGCGCGGAACCAGATTTGTATCACAACATGCCATTATGATCATTTGATTAATGACTGGTTTAATGTAACCATAGAGCGGAATTAATCTTGGCTCAAATTTATTGAAGCCGTGCATCATCCCGTCATATTTCTTCACAAATGGCAACGCAAGAAGCTCTGTGTCGTAAAGTTGAATTGTAGTTCCTCTTAATAGCCCAATCTTCTTCTCCAAAGAAATTTGTGGGGTGTTCAAGAGATACAATGTTTTAAGTCTAGGAAACTTGATCAAGATTTCTTTGAGAAATGATTCGGTGATGTTGAGGTTTCCAGAAAAGTTCAAACTAATCACATCTTTGGGATCTTTAGATGCTTCCTCCAATACTTCTGAAATTTGCTCGGTAGTCAGTTCGAAGGTACCAAGGTCAATTGTATTTTCTCTTCTAAGAATACTGCCCAAAATCCGACGTGCCGACGCAGAATTCGACACACCGGTAGGATCAGCATATAGCTTTGACTTGGCGGCAGGATAGAAGTCCGAAAGGAGCGATGCCCTTTCAAGGATCTGCGGAAGTTCGGAGGGTGAACTTGCAATCGCTGAGTTTAGAACCTTGACAAGAGAGGATGCTCTAAGGCTGGAAATTTCAGAATCTACAGGATTCGATTCCTTCTGCCCAGAAATTTCTTCTTCTGTAATCAAAGGATCAGCCAAAAGTATCGAGTGACGCGGATGATCAAATGATGGAGATGTCTCAAGCTAGACCTACCTGCCACGACCTGTTCAACACGGGTGCATACACTCTCTCCGCCATCCTGCACCATTATCCTCCACGAACTGTCAGGCCATGCACTATGCAAAGCTCTGCCATCAATTAGCGGCAAAGCTTGAAAGCTTTTACCAAGATCCTTAAATTTTTCTTGTTTTGATTGGTCATCTTTTCTATAATATCCCCAAAGATATTGGGGTCCAGTAAGTGGGGTCATGGCGGGGGGTATCGGAGGAGCCCCGCCTTCCTCTTCGTCGCTATCAGATGAATCAAGATTGACGAAGCAATATCGCACTTGCGTCAGTTCAGTGATATCGAATACCGTAATTCCATCGTTATTATCGCCCCCATCAAACGATAGATTGAAAGGAAGATTGTGGACTCGAGCATGATAACTATCCTTTGCTCGGAGGCCAGCTCCGACAACCAAACATGTAAGTATAAAGGGAAATGGGATATCGGCCACAGGAACTTTTGCGAATCCAATTTTCCGTGACCAATCTTCCTCTTTAAAGCGAGCTGCGTGGCGAAGTTCATGCGACAATGCGATTCTGTTGGCCGGAGATTGCAAGATTTTGAGGATGTTTAGGCAGGCTTCGAGGGCGGTAATGCCGTAGAGCCATTCTGACAAGTTGTCCTTTAGTATTTGGGTGAACATTAAGGGCCAAATTGGCCAAAGAGAGAAACTCACGGTGGTGTATTGCTGCTAGTCCGCGATACCGCCCATTTATCTTGGCAATAACGAAGAGTTGATGTCTTTGTCCCATATTGAGCGACTGTTCTATCTCCTCTCGAATAATTTTATTGGGTTAATTATCGCGCGTAAGTGTACCGCAGGAGATCTTCAGAAGTACGTATGAAGAGGAATAATTACAAGAAAAGGGAAAAGCTTGCTTTATATATTGACCACGACAATTCGCCTCAATCTGTGGCTTTACAAACAGTTGAGGTCCAGCTTTCTGACTAGCCAATGATACGGAGGCGCATATGCACAGTGCCTAGAGTTGCCTAAAATCCACAAAAGCAAGGAAAAATAAGTGGAATGTCAATTTTGCTTACCCTGCGATCGATTGATTATTCGACGGAATCATCTTCGAAATACTGATTTGATGGGGAAAATGTGATATCCCGAAGCCACTTGTTTCGGGAAGACAAGGGTGCTTATACATCGGCTGAGCATACACAATCTCGGCTATCGATGTTGGGGTTTACCGATACTTTACCGGTTATAACTTACCTTACCTAGTATTTGGGGTGATAGGAAGAGGGTTAGATATTAGGTACAATTGGTATTCGTTTCGATACTCGCCAGGGCAAACATAGAAGTCAAGAAATTTGGCAATATTTTGGCGCTTGATGAATCCGAGTCAATTTTTTCTTACAAAATCGAGTATCAGGAATTGGTTGAGAGAACCCTCGTTCTCAAGTGGAAAATCGACAACAACCAAGTTAATGCTGAGCAATTGGCGGGTATGCTGGATGCGGAAGATCGTAAAGGTAAGAGATATAGGAATCCTAGGGGAAACTAGTACTAGGTGGGAGGAAAGACTGAGAGAACCCTCTCTCTCTCTCATACCAACCATCTTGTACATCCTCACGGGTGACAACGACTTGGAGGCTGGTCCTCGCACTGGTAAACTGGAATTTCCCTTGTTGGCGCTCAGTCTATTCTTTCTTGAATAGATAAGTAGAAGAAGTCTTTCTTTGTATTAACTTCTTGACTTTTCAACACAAAAACAAACAATAATTAAAATGAAAAAATCTTTTTCCTTTATAAAAAAACATGTCCACTACAACAAAACCTTTGTGAACTTGTGACACAGATACCAAAATGAAGATGAACATTGTGACTAAATACTAATAACATGGAGAAGAGTCAGAAAGTGCCACGCAATAGTTGCCTGTAGATGAGAGTATAAGGAGTTTTCTCAGACATGAGATGTCATCCTCTTGGGAATCTTCTTGAACAGACACTTCTCATAGATTCAGGTCTTATTTCAGTACAAGATCATGTGAAATTGTGTCCAAGTGGCCAAGACTTATATTAACACAACTAAGTTGCATACTCATTACCCTATGGTAGTAAAGTTAATACCTGTATATAAATAAAATGTCAATATAAATTCCTATATAAATATTTAATATATATATTATTGAATTGAAACTTTTTCATTATTAACAAAATATATACTTCATTATCGACAAATATAATTAGCTCAAATTCGGACCTGTTTATTATTAATTTTTTATTTTTTTTAAAAAAATAAAAAAATAAAGACCCTTTAGCTGAAGAACCTTTATGATTTTAGGAAAGGTGGACGGAAGGGAAGCGAGTATAGAGCTAGGAGGAGGAGGGGAACGAGCGGGGGAGCTAAAGAGTATTAGTCGAAAGTTTAAAGGGGAGGAGGTTCTACACCTTACTACTCACTTTCAATTTATTCTTCAATCAGAAGCTTTATCATTATACCATACAGTACAGAATGTACTGTTTAAACAAGAATACTAAATAACTCTAATATATATAGTTATAATTAATATACGATTATTAATTAATTATTAATCAAATTCAGTATAAATAAACCTTTTTACTTGAAAATAATATTAGACTAAAACTTTCGAAAAATCAAGAAATTTCGAAAATTTTCTAAATCCTTTCAGAATAATATTTTCTAATCATGTATATATATAAGATTGATTACATTAATACTTTACAACCCATTTTTTAATATAATATTAAAGATTAAAAATTTTATCGTATTTGACGAAACCATTGTTTCGTCAACCACGGATTCTGCCACCACAGGGTGTTGTCACCTAATCAACATTTATCAATTCTTACACTGGTCATTAAACCCCTCTTAAAATCTATCTCCTTGAATCATTTGTTTAAAAGTCACACAGCGCTTGTAATCAATTGAATCTATTTCTCAGTAAAACATGTTGTTTAGATCAAAGTCTAAACACTCTAGTTGCCCCTGATGTGAAATTCGGTTAAATTTCAACCTTTTGTGACTCCATCATAACAACAAGAACACTCTTTAGCCTCCCAGTCATATCTATATTAGGTCTAGAATAAGAACTCAAGAACAGGAAAATCAAGACGGTCACCGTCAAGACTATCCGGAAAGTCAATTGTGGCCTGAGCCTTTTCTATTTATAATTCGAGTACCTCTGAATTCTTCTCCACTCCACCTTCTACCTCCACAACCACAAACGTAACAACACTATCAAAGCCTTCCAGATTTTCCAAAAGATCGGAGTAAGCATTCAACATGAGAGTGGTAGTAATTGCTAAGACTAGTCTGGGCTACCTCCAGCTAGCTAGTATTCAAAACCGCCATGGTGAGTAACTTCCGTCTTCATTGATATCCATCTCTTTTCTTCGATATACAAACCTGATCTTTGATCATGAGATTATATACTAATTAAGAATCTAATATATAGGTCTTATCCACGACGTTTTATTCAATCTTTACGCCAATATCATCAAGATATATTCATCATCGGCAAACAGAATCCAGATCCAGCACGAACTTGGATCTGCGACACTCATTTGATCCAGAGATGATCTCACGAGAAACCACCGGCGCCAGACTATGTTTCCTTTCATTCAAACTTGTCTCGCTATCGGCTTTACATTCATACCTTCTATTGGTTACAAAGCTGCAAATGACACGATTTCGATGAAAGAATTTGATCCCGACTTGGGTAAATCTCGACCTTATCTTGTTTTTGACATTACAAACCTTAAAGATATTGGTTATTGCTTCTTTCACGTGGGTTCAATTAAATGGAACTCTCTCGATCAGATGCATGCGCCGCGTATGACACCTTTATCGGCAAGTGTCTTTTTTGCTGGAGGACACCATGCCAGCAAACGAAGACGAACCATGACACCTTATCAGAATTATGATGAGTCTCTTGACCAATTCAGAGTTATTGATGCCCATATACTAGGTAATACTTGGCCTCGTGGCATTTGGATGGTGCTCGTTGGAGATACTTATGATCTCTTGTCGAATCATCCCCAAGGTTTGTGTTCCATTTTCATTGAACGTCATCAAGCAGCGCGGGCTCAATAATTTGACTGATCATATCTTCACAGTCAATCAAAACCAATCTGTCAAGGGAGCGCTCTCTCTACAAATCCTAGCCGAAACGAAATTATTCAACGAGTTGCACCTACAGACACCCGCGAACTTCCGGCGATTATTAGACAGAGCATCAGTGATGCCCAGATTCTTCCCGACAGCAATCTCTAAGAGTCGTGAAAAGCCTTTAAGGTTATCGAGGTACTATAATTCAAGGGAGTTACTGGGCGAGGCTCTGATGACTCAGTCTGTTATAGACCTAGGCTACCCCTACAATCTGAGCTCAGGTCATGTTCTTCAGATCTTAGAGAAAGTAATGAGCTCTATGAATCGAGGAAATGTTACCGCGTTGAGTCTGTGCGGCAATAACTTGATCAGCCCAGCTGCCCTAGAAACGATTCTCGCCGCGTTGCCAAATCTCAAAGATGTCTACCTCCTGAACACTCCTGGAATACCGCTAGGGAGAAAGATGGAGATTCTCCAGGGAACAAAGGTATCAGGCTTCCATGATTCGGAGTTGTATTCCATGGCATTCAAGCCAGCCACAGGTAGTCTCGGCTATAACAAGATTGAGCCACCACACTTTCTGGTCTCTCAAGTCATTTACGCACTATCATCTGATGGAAAGATACCGGGCTTGATTGCCAGGAAAACGAAAGATTCCTGGCCATTTGAGGAAAGTGTGTATGTTCTAAGTCTCCGAGAGGTCAACCTCACACTTCCATTTCTCATCAATGGATTTGCCAATTTCCTTCGAGTACTCTCTAATCCAGATACGGATCGGAAGCAAGTGTCCCATGGCACGCGGATTCTAGCGAAGACTATGGCAATATCGGAGATGAATGACGAGATGAAAATTGCACCAATAGCCAAAAATCTGTTCGAGTTCAACTTGACAAGAAATAAAGAGGAGGGCGATTGTTGGATGAACTACTACCGGCAGAGGCCCAGGGCAACTCCTTCAGGTAAGTGGAACTTGATAGTCGTTTCTCAACCGTATGAGCCGTTCCCAGGAGCAGCCAAACATTCTTTCCGTCATAGATACGCATTTATCAAGGCGAAAGAACACGGTGCACACGTCGAGGCGAACGCCGGTCAGGAATGTACAGGTTCCGTCGCATTTGTTAAGAGCTATGAGCCGCAGTTGGTCGTGGCTGATATTGATCAGTTTCTTCAACAGGCTGTTACAGGCGAGGAAGACGAAATGATTATAAAGCAAGCTCGAGATTTCTGGAAGAAAGGCACTGGCTTGCTGGATTTGCAGAGATGCAGCGAGGCGGAAGTAGAAGCAATTGTAAAAGAGGCCAAGCTTTCATTTGGGATTAAAGAAGACAATGGTATGGTGATGTTGAAAGTTTTCGGGCAGGAGACCGGTTAGACATAGGTCGCGATTGGGGAAGCACATACAGCTCGCTTTTTGATGTTGACAGCTCTGCATACGGTTCGGTTTCGACAGAAGATTATTCTCTGGGCCTAATAAAATAACTTTAGGGAGGTAGTGCCATAAGCTGGTAGGGTTAGAGGGAAAAGAATACATATGGGGAGACTTCAGACCATGGACGGGAATGTGGCATTCATCTAATATGAATGTTTCGGGATGCAGTCACTCTCAACAGCCTAGAGTGCCCCATTCTACAAGTAGAAGAGCTACCCAGTTAGTACGAAATATAACGAATTATGACAAAATTATAAATTAGCTGCGGTAATGCTGGGATTTTGTGTCAGTGATAGAGTCTAACATTGTTGAAGCTAATGGCAGGAAGGCTTCAAACGGGGGTCTTTCTTCTATGCTTAAATTATAGCTTTCGAATTGGCATTGGTAGTCCAAATTTGCTTTCGAGATCCTTCGAGTTGTGATGAGATAATGAGACGGTTCCCGGCTACAGATACTAACGGAAGTAGTGTCTCAAAATCCAGTACCTATCTTTCAGCCCCCCCCCCCCCCACAGATTTGAAAGAGTGCACGAGAAGAACAGGAAGGGGTCTGACTTCATTATGAGCGGGAGTATCGAGTGTGAGACATCTCATCGGTTACCTAGGTACATATAGCTTGGAAAGAGAGAGCTTCACGTCTAATGGCCCAAATTCGAAGTCGAAATAATCGGCAGTGTCTGAACACTGGTTGTTTGAGATAGATGAGGTATATTTACTTTAGATGTACTTGCGTGCATCTATTTCCTTCGAGGTCAAGAGGTCAAGAGATCAAAGAATTTCTTACCTCCTTCATTCAGCTCGCTTGGTCCAAGTATTTTGTTCAAATTCCGATGCTCTTCACAACTACCCACCCATCTACCTCATTATGTACTCACATACTGACATCAAACACCTGACATTGAACTTAATTCGTTTCGTTTGATGTATCTCGCATTGTGTGTCCTAAATCACTCTGAAGATCACAACATAGCCAGCCTTCCAAATTACCTCTATCACGATCACGTGCACATGCAAAGGAAACAAGTAAAACCGATGTGTGGAATCACACAATCTCTTTAGTGCATGTTTGGACTTTGAAAAGTATACTTATATTGAGAAATCTTTATAGTATAGTCCTTGGGTCCTTGGGGTTGTGATTTGCTGACCGCAGGATAGTGCGGGGTTAGTCCTGCAAACCGTGTGTTGAGGTAAGACTGTGTTGAGGTAAGAAGCTTACGGTCACCACTAGCATGTCACGTTTCTTCGTGCTGCTTTTTGAAGCATGTAAATAATCCCACGCGTCTCCTTCTTCTTATCACCTCAACTAAACATTAAAAAAAGGTAGTTTTTAAATATCATCGCTTTCATCCCAAGCCATGGGTAATAGGTGAGTGCATGTTACATTCATTTCATGCTTTACTGAGAAGCATATCCTTTTCAGAATTTTGAATTCTTTTCGTCTCTTAACCTTTCTTTCACATTGAAACAGTGACTGACAGCTATTGAAAGACATCAAGTCTATGTTATTTCCAAAATCGGAAGCCGATATCGAACACTTGCAACGGTTCATCATCGTAATAAAATCCCTCGGATCATTTACTTTTCGTTCGAAGCTTACTTTGTATTAGAATACATGTTCGGACCAGATGCTGTCGAACTGCTTTCCAACGCGGTGCACTTGTTTCAGAGCCCTGAGAACAGAATCGGCCTTGAGCATGAAAAGCGTTGGGCTACACGTCTTCGAGAGTTCGTAATCAATTCCCTGTTTGCACACTGATCTTGTGCCAGATTCTATCTCCTTATCCCAGACCCTTTCATATCCATTCTCCCCAAACCTTTGCCTTTGCAAGTAATGACTGACATCCTGCCTTTCCCACCGACAAACAGATCCGATTGGTGTATACGGAAAGAAACCAACCCATTTCCATTTACGATGACGTGTCTGTTCATGGGGTATTCGTTCAAGGAGGAGGATGGTTATTCGACTTCCTCTTGTTATCCGCAATCTTTCAATACGGAATTCGATAAAGCCGACAACAATGAAGGGATTACTGTTTTGGATATAACAGACATCGACAAAATCCGCTATTGTTTCGTCAATATTCATTGCGGATCGGACCCTAGAGGAGGGTGGGGAATAATTATGAGTTGTGGAGTCCCAAGTATGATTCCTCTGAGTGCTACTGAGTACATTGAGGCCTACGGCCACGAACCAAAGAAGTTTGAAGAGGCTTGGAAAAAATGGATTCATCACTTAAGCAAGCTAGATCTTATTGACAGTCGTACACTAAACAGCGTCTGGCCAAGGAATACATGGAGAATACGTGTTGGTGCAAAGATTGTACGACTCCCGGTTTCTGGTCAAGGTCTGTCATTCCATACTACCTGCAATGTTTGCAAAGTTCTAATTCATGTCAGAGCCAATCGACGTCGTCTTGCCAGTTTTTTCTCCGCCATTGACACTACGCAAAGCTTGCATGGAAAAGCTCTCGAAGGATATTTTCAATTGTCCAATCAAGGAGCTGCCTGCCAAATTTGAACGTGCGACGCTCCTGCCTGATTTTCGACCTGCCTTGAAATCAGCCATACTCTCGACACCGACAATTCTTGCAGGTTCCGCTGCTGCACGATATATTTTCAGTCGATTACTAGAAACTGAGAAAAGCATTGACTTGGGTCCGTTTGATCTATCGCCTGATCATTTAATAGAGGTACTAGAGCAGCCCAGGAAAGCTGGAGTGTTGAAGATCTTAAGTCTTTGTGGCAATCAAAAGATAAATGATGCCTCTCTAGTCAAGCTAATCAATGACTTTCCGCGTCTTCGATCTTTGTATTTACTGGATACCCCTCAGATTCTACTTGCGACAAAGATAAAGATACTTAGAGGCCAAGCATTGAGGGAATTATTCGACACAGACCTGTATGCACTGCCATTCGCATCTCGCGAAAAATTCCACAACGATCGAAACTCTCGTAATTACAACAGTGAGCCCATTCTAGCGCTCGGTCCAAAGCTCGGCCCCGAGAACGAAGAAGCAAGTCGAGCTATCGATATCAGTGAAGAACCGCAAAGCTTCATGAATGATATGAGCAAGTTTGACCATCTTCTTGAAAACGGAATGCCACCATTTTGCGATTTGAGTTATATCTCGCCTGTAATTGAACAGATGATATACATTACCTGTGGTAATACTGACAAGAATTGCATACGTGATAGTGAAGGTGGCCTTGACATAATTAATCTATTTCGGAGACCGTCGTCGCACTCGGGGATTGGTAATCCTGGGTATCATGCTATGTCGTTCAAAGAAGCGAACCGACACCCTTCCCTACTTGTGCAGAGCTTAGCTCGCTTCATTGGATTTTCTTTCCACAAGAGACACATATGGCTCTCCGACTTGAGGCAGACTCTGGCGAAGATCCTCGCCATGGAACCAAACGACGATGTCGGCCCAGGATACAAGGTTTTACCACTCTGCGCAGGTCTTTATAGCGACGATATGGGCTTTGGCATTTCAAAGAGAAATGGAATCTTTCAAATCACTAGAGAGATTATTCCGAATGAGTGGACTTTTATCATGATTGTTGAAGAAGAATCCTACAAGCTCATAGAGGGAGAAAAGGCAAGAACTGATACTCGGTCTCTTTCCCGCTATGCTTTTGTATCGGCTGAGCGTAGTCCCGCTAGCTCAGCATCGGGTGATATACTTCCAACCTTGATTGTTGCCGATGTAAAACAGTTTTTAGAGAGCAATTTTGCCAACCACGGCCAGAAATGGATTGAAGGGTTTTTGGAGTGGTGGGGTGACCAGGTTGCCAATCGCTGGAAATATCCCTTAGAGTTTTGCGGCAGGAAAGAGATCGAGTCTGTCATCAAATCAATAAAGTTTACTCCAGTCGCCGAACACTCAAATACCGCATACGAGATTGGACTGGGGCGAGACAAGAGTTTTATCAATTGTCTGAAAAAGAATATAGATCGCAACTGAGTTCTATGCTTGGATTCGGAATGGCGATATGCTCGAGCCTTTGTCCAGTCATGGCAGTAGTCTCTTCCGAATCTCGCGAACCTTCCTACTTCAAAGTCCATCTTCACCCCACTTTGCCCTCAGGAATTCATTCTTCCCTTGCACTTGCAAAAGTTTTTCAAGTTGTTTTTTTATCCACTTCTCCACATTCTTCTCTCTCTTTCGGCAACGGTAGTTAGTTCAGCTACATTTATCATGAAACACAAGTCTTGACCTCTGTGCATACTAGCTAGTATGTAAGTCTACCATATCATCGGTCGACAACCCTTTACAGTGATATCGGCAAGGGAAAAAATCGGGAAACTGTTAGGACGAAATGATGCCTTAAGTCTGGTATTTGGAATGAGGTTTGTTGATCTTGAGAACAAATCCAAACAAGTTTCTTACGATCGTTCGAGAAAATGTGAGGCTATTTGATAAGTGAAAAAATGTAAATGGCTTAAAACCCGTTGAGAAAAATTTCATAACGCTCAAGAAAAAATTCACTTCATCAATGAAGCAATCCCCTCCCCGAGCAATCTAATCATCACTTCTTCAACAGGAGAGCGAAGAAGCAACTCTTAAAGCCCTACATTATCCACACCTACTACTCGTACACCTAGGCTTAAACCCTCATCAAACATTAACAAGTACCCCTCTAGCCCCTCACCACGCACGCCACCGATCCATTATAATGCGGATCCCATCCACGCACAGACATGCTATGCATAAAACTTTTCCGCCCTCTCCCTCCATCTCTCCAAGTTCTCCATGTAGAGAAACCTCAAAATAAATAAAGCTTCTCCCTCGTATCTCTTTCTTCTCTTCCCATAGAGTAGAATAAAAAGCTACAAACCCAACCAGGCCAAAAAACGGCAAAAGCACATTTTCCGAATCCGGGAATCGAACCCGGGGCTACTCGGCTCCAGATCACATGAACGGATGGTCATATGATGAT